GGACTGCCGTTGAATGCTGCAACTTGCAACCAAATTTATGACGATGGTAGTGTCCATAGAGAACACACCGACAAAAAGGTCCATTTAAAGCAAGACCCTCCACCAAAGGCCACGAGGCAAAATCGGATGCATATTGCCGAGAAGGCCCTGCTTGCTCTAGCAAATATCGCCATAGGACCACGTGCGCAGCGCGAAGCGCTTGCCAACGTCAACGGTATTCTTCACGTGGCCGTAGGCATCCTGAGGAACGCCAAACCAGGGATCGCCCAGGCTGCCGCCGCTCGCCTGGTTGCTTCTCTCCTCGAAGCACACGTGAATTTAGACGCTGAAGCAGATGATGCGACTTTTACAGCTGCAACCCTATGCGGTGCCCTCACTATCATGACTGAAAGAGAACTGCATGCAGAGACAGCGTTGCGCCTTGTCCACGCCCTCAATGCGCTTTTGTGTTATGCGCAAGGTGCAGATGCTCTCCAATCCTCCCAGCCAACATCTGTGCTGGCTATGCTACTCAAAGTGACGATGACACGATACCCTGATGTTGCTGAGGTGTGTGACCCACCTAACAGTCTCGACCGACAAATCTTCCTCGTAGGCTTGCGCTGCTCAGATAAATACTCTGTGTTACGACGCCTACCATCGCAAAGCCCTCAAGACTGAACATGTTGTAACTCTAGTCGATGCTCTCAAGGTACCCGAGGCGACTGCCCTCCAGTTTCATTGTCTCGCCGTACTCAACTCTATTGCCCACACTGATGCGGGTTGCGACATGAGTGATGTGACTGCCGGCGTTTCAAGGCATATTCTAAAGTAGCACTCACTTTCCCGTGTCTTTCCAGGTGATCAACGACGGCGGTCTGCGATATGTATGCTAGGCGCGGGCAAGACAGCTGTGGCTCCATCTGCAAGGCGACTTGCTGCAATACTCGGAGCTGACAATGAATTACAGGGGGCTACCCCGCACAAAGCAAGCAAAGCTGCTCCTGATGCGCCGACAACAAAAGCTGCCGCTTCCATCGCTGCTGCTTTGGGGAATCTTTGACGACAATAAAATCCTATGTCTTCTGCAGGGTGAGTAGATGCGAACTGTCTCAGACCGCCTGCTCATAGCCTGGATGCATCCAGCAGTGCACGGGGGGTGGGTGAGTAGAATAACCTCGGGTCCGTCCGTCGAGGTCCGTGCGCGCCCGGATACACCCGCGGTTGGCGTAGTGCCATTTGCTTGGTCCTAAGTAACCTACTGTGCGCTTCGCAATACGGACCAACCAAATTCGATTCAAGTTAGTGGATCACAACCCGCGTGCAAATCCACGGGCCGTAACTTGAAGTGGATACCCTGGTCTGGAATGATGCATGAACTTTGAAGAAATCCCAGCGTAAAGGGGACTAGGCGGTCTCTCCGCACGGGCATTTCAGCGGCCGATGATGGAATCTCCATAGACTCGGAGAGTTTTCTCTAGCGCAAGTTAGAGGAACAGCTAAAGGTAGATATTGAAGCTCTATTGAAGGCGGAAATCCCGCCACACCCGCGTTCCCGGCCATCGCTGGGCACCAAAATTGGTCCAGCCTCCCTCGTAAAATTCGGCATACCAGACAGGTCCAGCGGATAGGTCCGACATCATGTTGCCAAGAAAGGCACCCCTGGCAAAAGCCCATAGTAGCGTCAAAGGGCACGCCACCAAAATTTTGGGAACTATCTTAGGTGATAGAGAGATAGAGAGTTTTGTATCTCCCTAGTGGCTCGCTGGTACAGAGCCACCCAATATCCTTTCCCTTCCTTCAAGTTATAGAGAGATAGAGAGTTTTGTATCTCCCTAGTGGCTCGCTGGTACAGAGCCACCCAATTTCCTTCCCCTCCTTAATACTTTCTAACCCTGTTATAGTTGCTTCCGCACTAGGGGTAGACGCCACTCGATCAGACCCTAGGAAGACACCTCAACCCCTTATTCGCACCCAGATTGTCGACAGTCATGAAACTTCGGCATCAGCCCCTACCAATCCTGTTCAGGAACCTGAACCCCCACCAACTCGCGAGAGCCCTCCTTCTCACCCAAGTCATGAGGCCCCACCACAGTTACGTCGCTCAGACCCTAAGTTGAATTTGATAAAGCGGCGAATATCGCCCTTTCATTTGAAGTTGATATGAGGATGTCATCTACTACAGCAGCTATTGACATCGTCTTTCCTTTCCAGCAGCACTGGCTCGCTGCGTCCCTGTGCAGCCCATATTCTCGATTGGTTGCTGCCATGAAGATGCTGGCTATGCTAAGTCTGCCTTCAAGTTATACTGGCTATGCTCATGCTATACTATGCTGGTGCTTCATACTAGCATACTCCTAGCATACTCGGATTCTAACACTGGTGCTTCATACTAGCAAACTCGGATTCTAACAGAATTTTCCCACGAGTCTTGACTACGAGGAATTCGTCGGGCCATCGGGGGCCTTGCTCTGATCATCGCGTCGCGCTGGCCTGGTCCTGGTCGGACCGCCGGCGGCGTCCTTGAAGTCGCTCCCAACATGTGCCGAAATAAACACTGCTATAGCGCACTCGATGGGCGTTGCGTATCTCGCCCATGAAAGATGACGATGTGGAGTCGGTGGCGTACGCGTCCGCGTTATATTGGGCGTGTGAAGATGGTACCTGGTGCCAACTGAGAGGTACCAAGTGGCGCTGCTTGCGGGTCGCTCCTAGCGGCCTAGTTCACTCCGCCGCTCCTGACGCACGTGATGCGAGTTGGAGGCCTTGGACTCGTCTCATCGACACGTCAGCACATCCGCAAGGAACAGTGTTTGAGTTAGATCTTCATCACCATTTCAGAAAGTATGTCACTCAGGTATGTAACATGGTTTTCGGAGGCAACAACAAATATAGCATTCAGCGCGGTGGACGTGCCTGCGTTGGACTCGCATGATGGACGTGATGGCGAACAAGTGGCATACGAGGCGGTGAAAGCAGGCGAGGAGGTTGAGGCTCAGCCCTCAGAACAACTGACTCGTTCGGAGCTGCTGCGAGCAGTGCTTACGTGCTGTGTCGAACTGGAAGTATGCCTCGGTACTCTCCTGGCATCTCCAATGCGAATGTACGCACACGCAGCAACAGGGCTCGAGCAAGCCGTCGTATGCCATGCCTGTGCTCGGAGTGCTGTCTGTTACACTTGTACAGCGCTGGATGCCACAGATGAATCCTTGAAACATCGATTTCTGGAGTTCGCACCGGCACTAGTTGTCGCTTCTCTGGATGCTCCGAGTGGACCGATCCATGAAATGGCGGCCTCACGTGCGACTCGTCTCTTCGGATCGAAGCAACGCTACGAGATAGCGCATGGCGATGCGCGGACATGGGCAGCTTCTGCTCCGCAGTACTTGAGTCCTCTGGCTGTTGGAGATGCGGTTGCCTTGATTGTGGTATTCACGTCAGGGTCAACGGGGAAACCCAAAGGCCTCGTACACGGGCACGGTGGCTATGGGAGTTGTGTTGCACGCTCAATGTCATATGTTTTTGATGCACGCGCAGGCACTGACGTCTTCCTGACGCTGGCGACATTTGCGTGGATCACTGGGCAAAGTTACATGCTCTATGGGCCCGTACTTGCACGATGTAAGAGTCTGCTCGTCGAGGGCTCGCCCCTTGGTGCTGACGGGCTACGATGGGCACGTATCGCAAAGGCGCGTCGTGCAACGATCCTCAAGTGTGCTTCAGCATTCGTGCGCCACGCCATGGGCAACCAAGTACGACGAGCGGCCGTTGAGGCGTTGGACTTACCGAACACTTCATTGCGATTGGGCACCTTTTGTGCAGAACCTGTGTCAGCTGAGGTGCAAGGATGGGCATCATCTCGAATAGTCGCTACGTTTCTGAATTCATACTGGGCCACCGAGCACGGATCCATTGTTTTGAGCCGTGATCCGAGTGGAAACTTTCAGCCCGACACCAGATGTTGGCCAGTGCCTTGGGTGCGGGCCTCGCTGCTGCAGCTTGATGATGATGAGCTGGGTGATATTGTCCTTGATGCACCATACGCAGGCCTCGCCAGAACCGTCTTCGGAGACACGGCAGCGTATGGCAAGCCCCACTGGCGTGGTGATCTTGCACGCTTTGAGGCGGCCTATTTTCCCCCTCGTGCATCTGGGGATGGTTTTGGATTTGTGCAGGGAGACGCTGCGCGCGAGGCTGACGGCGCTTTCACATTCCACGGGCGCCGTGACGAGGTCATAAATGTGATGGGTGTCCGGTTGGGACTCGAAGAGCTCGAAAAAGTAGCATGGTCTGCCTCAGATGGAATCCTGCATGATCTGGCTATAGTTGGCGCACCTGATTCTTTGAAAGGCCAGGTACCTATTGGATGGGTAGTCCTCTCTGAGGGCTTCAAAATAGACTATGACATCCTTGCAATCTGGCGGAAAGCCCTCTTTGATATCATCGGTTCCCATGCAGAACCGAGCGCGATTGTTGCTGTTACTGCTCTTCCGAAGACAATCACAGGCAAGACCCAACGAGGGCTGCTTCAAGCAGCACTACGCGGTGACGAAGCTTTGCCACCAGCAGCGGCAGCTCGCGTTGTGCGTAACGTCGATGCGTACGAAGATTGCTACGCAGCAGCCCAACGCTGGCGCGCCCATAAAGCAACATCAATTGTTGTGCCTCTTGCGGGAATCACGAACTATTGGGCACGTATGCGCTTCGACGGCCACAATGTTAGTGGATCTCCTTTGCTTCCAGCGACCGGTTGGCTCTGCATCCTTTCCGATGCTAGCTCGAGCTCGCCCGTCGGGCTTCACAAGGTACAGCTTCTACGTGGTGTGCGTGATGCGCATCAACCTCTGTTATTGCGCAACGGGTTGATGAGCACGGTAGAAGATGCCGACGGACTCCCCATTGTCAAGTGCGAGGTCCGAGAGTCTGCATTGGTCCCCCTTCCTGATCTAGATACAGAAGGCTGGGTCGACGGTGCTGCCGCCATATTCGAGGATTTGGATGGGCTGAAGCACTACCGACGTTGCACTGCCGTCGCGCTGAGATATAGCGGGCCTTTTAAATGTGTTGATCGTGTAGCTTGGCGCGATGATTGGAGTTTCCGAGCGTTTGTGACTGTAACAACAGCGCCAGCACTACTCGATGCGGCTCTGCAGGTCGTTTGCTCTCTCGATGCGTTTGGTCGGGGTGCGACTTTTATTCCGTTTTACATTGGGTGCTTTGAGGCAGTCCCGCATCTTAATCTCGCGAGGCCTGCGTATTGTTTAATCGTGGGAGAAATCACTGCGCGTGAGGAGGCACGGCTAGAATGCGATGCCGCCTTTTACTCTGTCGATGGTGCTGCCACATCCACGCTCTTGAGCGAACCGGATCCTACTAGACTCATTGCGACGCTCAAAGGAGTCAAGTTTGCCAAGGTCGACAATAAAAGGCGACTTCGGCGATCTCGGGAGATGAAACCCGCGAAGGTAGAAGTGGGCGGCTTGCCAATAGCACCGGGCGATGTAAGCCCGAGCGATAACGCATCGCTACTGCGGAATGTCATCAGCCTAAGTTCAGACCTCGTTGGAGGCACGATTGACGCAGAAAAGTCTCTCTTCGAAAATGGGCTACACTCCCTTCGTGCTGTCGAGCTTATTGGCAAGGTCAATCAAGCCTACAGCGTTACCATGGGCGTCGCCCAACTTGCATCCGGAGATGACAGTTTTTCTGCAATTGTTGTCGCTCTCCGTGCAGCGATCGATGCACGCAATTCTGCTGGCACAGAAACGATCCGTTTTGCCCACGTAGACCATGAAGCGTTGCAGCACATTGTGAATTCAAGACTAACAGGCGCCGAGGCGCCGGGCATCGCATCTCAGCGCCAGAGGTCCGCACTTGCGGAAGCAGCACGGGGTGTGATCTACATGATCCGTCGAGGTTTTTTCAAGTATCTGCGCATCCAGCACCGCGATGGCCTTTTTCGCTTCTTATTAAACACGCCCACGGTGATCGACCTAGAGCGCACAGTTGTCGTGCCCGGTACTCGTGTTCATTTCCAACAAACCGACTATAATCGCCACTTTACAGTCCGTGAGATCATCCGTGACTCGGAACGTGGCTTCTACAATCTCGTTCACGAAACGGGTCTCGCACATCTCGAACACTACTTCAGAGTGATGTTTTTTGCTAGCCGTCTGGAAGCGCGTTTCGATGCCGAGCTTCTCGAAGGGGAAGCTTATGAAATGAGATGCAAAGTTGCGCAAATTACTGGCCCGCTTGTCGATGCCGAAGTTGCATTTTACTCACTGCGCAAGCTTCACGCCCATGCATTCATCGTCACTTGGCGGCTTATGCTTGTTGTAGACCCGGGGAAGAAAGTCATGTACGATTTTGAGCGCGGTGGTGCCTTCAGCAGCGGCAACTCAACCACCACCGTCGCGCTGGAGAAAATTCCGGATGTGCCACATGTACTAAGCGAAACGCCCAAAAAGCCAGAGACTTGGTCATTGACTCGCCGTGGCAAATTCATCACCTCAGGGTCTATTGCCTTCTTTGGCATTCTGATCGGCCTCTATGCGATGGCTCCGGTTGCTGTTCGCATCTTAATTCCCCTGCCGCTTGTAGCCGCGGACGTTCTCCAGGATCTGAAACCGAGGGAAGCCATCATCATCTTTGCTGCTGTTGGATTTTGGCTCAGGACTCACCCAGGGCGCAAGCCGCTTGATGGCCCCGTCGATATGCTTTTGCCTCATGGTTGAATGTGAGTCGCGCACCAATTGAGCAGTTTGCACAGCCATAAAAATATTGCTGCAGGCGTGTGTGGCAGGAATCGGGCGGGAGTGTAGCCTGCAAATATGGCGCGGGGTTCATGCGCCTGCCGGTTCCAAATGGCGCATGGCACGTTTAACGTGCGCCAAGATCGAAGCGGGAAATTCGATGCGACCTGGCTTGGTTCCGGCGCCTAGGTAAACCCCCTGGCTCTTGGCGTCGTTCGGGGACGTTGTGGGTTCCTTGTGGACATGAGAAACCTGGACACGAGAAACCCAACGAAGCTGAGTTTGCGACCGCCCACCTCTTAGTCGCCCTTAAGTGCCCCGCGCCTCGATTTCCCCGAACGCGGGAAATTCGACGCTTTCTAGTTCGGGCCCCGCCCGCCCCCCCCGGCGCCTGAGTAAAGCCCCCAGCTGCCGACCCAAAACTCTCGGGGGCGTTTCGGGTTCCTTGGGGGCCCGTCCGGCGCAGGGGGGGGTTCTGGGCGAGGTTTTGACGCCGGGGGCGGCCCTCAGGGGCAGCACGAGTATGTTCTTACGTACACCCTACTTAGTTCGCGATCTACCCCCCCCAGCCTAAAAGCCAACCCCGACAGCCGTTTCCGTACTACAGCGAGTTGCTGTGGCAGCCGCTCGCCAACAGTATGACGTCGATATTACAGCCAAAGTTTCACTTCGCCGAGACACAGAGCTTCAGCGTCGTCGACGCTGGGCCGTGTAAAGTAGCAGATGAAGAAACTGATATCGGGGTCGATGTAGGGGCTCTATCAGCGTCCTGCACACGACTGGCATCCTCAATAAAGGAGATGAAAAAAGCAGGCGCGGCTCCAGAAAAAATCCAGTCGGCTGTAGATGAGCTGCACACGCTTCGCAATGATCTAGCGGCGGCAACAGTAGCCCTGGAGAGTGATGAATTCGAGAACAGCCTGAACCGTAAGCTGTTTGACGAGACTGTGCTCCGGCGAATGTTTGTTGTCCCGGCATTCGAAATACATGGTGGCGTCACCGGTTTGTTCGATCTGGGCCCACCAGGGTGTGCGCTCAAGGCCAACGTAGTTGATATGTGGCGGCGACATTTTGTTCTCGAAGAGAAAATGCTCGAGATGGAGTGCACGTGTCTTACTCCAGAACCAGTGCTCAAGACGTCCGGACATGTCGACCGATTCACAGACTTGATGGTAAAAGATATTGAGACCGGTGACTGCTACCGGGCGGATAAACTGTTGGAGGATCACATTGACGCGTTGCTCAATGGTGGGACTGTTGCGCCAACTACTGCCGAGGAGCATAGAAAGGTTCAACGACAAGCTGATGCGTATTCGCCGGAGGAGCTTGGAAACATCTTAGTTGAGTACGCTATCACGGCCCCGGCGACTGGCAACCAGCTCACCGCACCATTTGCCTTCAACCTCATGTTTGGCACAAAGATTGGTCCCAGTGGCACGCTCACCGGATATTTGAGACCAGAAACTGCGCAGGGGCTTT